ATATATCGAATACACGAATTCACTCTGTCCTATTGTTCGGTTTAATAAACATTTCAATCATAAAGATTAAACTGCAACAGTAAATTCTGTGGCACAATTTCAAAAAAATTTCAGTTAATGCATTAATTAAACTTTAGCATACAGGATTTGCGTATCTATCGGAAGAAGACATCTTGAAAATTCTAATTCTAGACTCAAAAAAAGGTTATGCAATTTGTATCGCTACTGACACGAACAATCAGTCCTTTAAGTGACAATATTTCAGAAGTGAAAACTTGATTTCCGGCGTTCATCGTTGCAGTCACAAAATTCAACACAGATTAACGTCGCGTTCCCCATGGCAAAACTCACCGCCATCTCGATGTGTTTTGCCCTCTGCTCGATGGCCCTTTGCAGGGCTGTTCTAGGATCGTCCTTGAAGTTCTCTTCCCGGTTTCTCTCGGCCTCTCTCCTCGAGGCGGCCTCTCTCTGCTTCTCGAGCGCCCGTTGCAGCTCGCTCTTCTGATTCAGTACGTTCCGGCCTCTGGAAAGAAAGTGAAAACCGATTTAGCGGTTTTGCTAATCGCTCGTCGCTTGTTATCGATCTGCGGTCGCGAAAATCGGCGCCGATCGGAAAAAACCAGGTGCGAACGAACGCGCGTCACCGTTGAACAGAGACCGCTATAAGTGTCCAGTCACCTATAGTGGGGTATTTGACGGATTTAGCCGGCCAAAATCATTTTTTTTAATTGACGTGCCTAAAATGTATCTACTAACTTATTTATGGTATTTTACCTCAGAAAAAAATCATTATAAACGAATCAAAATGCTTAGAAACCAATAATAGTGAAAAGAAACGAATAAAAATTTATTATAAATACATAAAAATGATCATAAGTACATAAAAATGATTATAGGCAAATAAAGATAATTATTAGCGTGTAAAAATGATTGTAAAGAAATACAAATAATTATAACCGAACAAAAATAATTACAAACAGATATTAATAAAACTTTATTAATAAAATATTTTTTGGCCGGCTAAATCTGGCAAATAAACCACTGTGCATCGGAGATAGAGCAGCGCACGTTTGCCGGCAGGAAACGATTTTCTCGGCGATAGGCGTGCGAAGCGCGTCGCACGAATTTCCCGTTAGGCTTTCTGCGAACCGATTTGCTTAAAAACGAGTTCGGGCGACGCAATGTTGCGTCTCGTCGTGTAGCCATACGGAACGCTCTCCTTTAGTTCTTTTTTTTTGTCTTACGGACATATATATATATATATATACCGACGACTCTGTTGGATATAAGTTCAGATTTTAGATAATCGAGTCTCTACTGTATTCAGAGATGGACAAGTTTTATTCAAAATATTATTATTAAATATTATTATTAATATTATTATTAAATATTATTCGACATATGAGCCGTTTATTTTGAAAGTGGCATAAGTCACTTTGTTTTTAAGTCGATATATTTAAGGGTTTGCGTTTTAACACGTTTAAAAATATGGATGCTAACTTTCAAGAAGATTTACTTGTATTTGTTATCTCAGGATACTGATATTTTTCTCAGTATAAATAATTTCGTATAAACATAAAAAAATCACCACTTTTCATTACGGTAAAGTGACTTATGCCACTTTCAAAATAAACGGCTCATACGTTAATGAACATTTTCTGTTCCAAAACGTTGTAACCGACGTTAATCTTTTAGGTACGACTGAATTCTGTCTGTATATACAGGGTGTCCCAAAAATGTCTCGCAATCCGAAAGCGGCGGGTTTCTCAGGCCATTCGAAGCAACTTTTTCCTTTACAAAAAATTTCTCCGAGGCACCGTTAACGAGTTATCAACGAAAAATAGTGACCAATGAGAGGCGAGCTCAGCTGGCGCGAGGCGATCGAGCCAATGAGCGGAACTGGGCTTCGCGCGCCGGTTGGCTGGGCCGCCTCGCGTCAGCCGTACTCGATTCTTATTGGTCACTGTTTTTCGCTAATAACTCGTTAACGGTGCCTCGGAGAAAATTTTTGTAAAGGAAGAAGTTGCTTCAAATGATCCGAGGAACCCGCCATTTCCGGATTGCGAGACATTTTTGGGACACTCTGTAGACTGTTGTAAATCGATGTGAAGACAAAATAAGTGTGAAACGATGCATATGAAGACGATTATTTGGTTCAAACGATGAGCGAGTGAGCTACTAGAGCAAGCCACTATAGTGGCGAGTCGTCCAGAGAGATGACATCCGCGAAAGCTACTATAGTGGCGCATCGTGCCTAAGAAGGTTAATACGTAATTCAGCATATCTCACTTCGAAATAGTTATCGTCGAAACTCTCTAAAATCTCCGCAGAACCGTCGACCCAGGTGGATTTGAATGGTAAACAAAAATAAGTGTACCTACACTTTCTGGTTGAACAGCAACTCTCTGCGAAGGTCCTTGTGGTTGTTGGAGGTGAGGTAGGGGTTGTACGGTTTTCTGGGCAAGATCAAGCCATCGGGACCCATGTGCGGAGCAGGTGGTGGCGGAGGCGGTACACCCAACACCGGTGCCATGTTTCTCCCTGCGAACACATATGTAGTTCGCCATCAGCCGCGGAGCTTCAGCAATTCCCCGTGCACACGAAACTTTCAGTTTCTCATAAATAATTCTTCAGCCGAGTACGTTGTCTAGACGTGTTTCGCGTGCACTTTCCAAACAATTTTCACCGTGTCAACCCCCGACGTTTCTGTTTCCCAGAAATAGTTGCAGAAAAGATTGTCTCGAGGGGAGACAATGCTCCCTATACAAGAAAACATCGATTATTTGAACCTATGATGCATGAATTCTTTATCATGCATATATGTTGTATGTTATTATAACGTAATAATGTAATATATTATTATAATATATTTTATTTATATTTATTAATATAAATTAATATATTATTATTATAATATAACACTTTAATATAATAATATAATATTTTAATGTTATAATATAATTCTTTAATATTATAATATAACACTTTAATATTGCATGTTATACTTTAATGTTATAGTATAATACTTTAATATTATAATATAACATTTTAATGTTGTAATATAATACCTTAATATTGCAATATAATACTTTAATATTATAACATAATACTTTAATATTACAATATAATATTTTACTATCATAATGTGATATTTTAATATTATAGTAGAATATATTATGTTATTATAAAACACTCAATCAGTGCAAGTCTCTGAACACGAAGACTGACATAATTAATCTTTAACCTATTCGCGACGAATAAAGAGATATACTCGTAGTGCATTACTGAAGCCGTAATGTGCAGGAACGAGACGTGAAAGACCCCAAATCATCGCAAAAGTATACACTTAAACATCCACTTAGAGTGAGACACTTTTTTAGAGTAGGATGCGTATGCACAGCGGTCAGGAGATCGGCAATTGTTGGACAAAACTCAGAATTTCGTCAAATGTTTCTAGAACTTTGTAATTTAGGGTTCTCGAGGTCGCTGATAATGAATCTGAGACGAAAACTTTGAAATTCAAAAAGACGGCTTCAATAGACGATTATTATTTAAAGATTATACTTGAAAAAAGGGACCGGTTTCCCATTTCGATATTAAAATTATTTTCAATGATAATAATTTTAAGTGATGATAATTTTTAGTGGTAGTTTTAGAGTTCCCATCCGGCTGCAAAGGATCAATACTTTGGACTTGATGGTTCCAAATGGAAATAATGGAAATAATCTTGAAATATCGAAGTCGAAAAATTGACTTTTGGCCAAACAATACCGACCTCCAAACCACTGTCGTACGGAGTGTAACATCGGATATCCGTATCCCCACTCCTTCCTTTAGATTTGCAGTTAGCAAAATGGACTGTCCAGCGTCCGCTTTGTGTCCCAATTAGTGCGGTCGGGAAAATAAGGAGTGGGGGCAGGGGACGCATGCGCGGAGTCCCGCAGAACAGCGTCCCCCACTTCTTGCGCAGCTTATTTTCCCGACCGCACTAGTCCCAATTACGGACGCGTAAGTGTGCACTACAGTATTGGAGGATTATATTTTCCTCTAGTTTCGAAGATATGTCGGGGAACGTGTTTATGACCACAAGGGTTGTTTCCGCCCGTTTCCGAAGAACACAATAGTATTCAAGTCAATTTTCAAGTAAAACGATTCGAGCGAAGCAACCCTCCTGCGACTGAGCCATCGTCGATATTTTTTCGTTCGAGCAGAAAGGGTTGCTTCGCGGCATCGAAACAACGAAGACGAGCCCCGAGTGTGTCGCGGTTGCCGACCGGATCGCACTGTTTTCGCCGGTTCACGGTTCGCGTTCAGCTTCCGGAAACGCGGATTCAGCCACGCGGTTCTATTCACCCTCGAACGTGGCGATCCTCGCCCTGACGCTCTCGGCCTGCTCGCACATCGCAGCGGATCGCACTGAAGCATTTCCGGCCGGCCCGTATCAAACTTCTATATAGTTTTGCGAGGGGCTTCGCGTAGCCGCTAATCGGATATAGCCGAGTACGTGTGCGCCATCGAGTCGTTGCGAACCAGCGTGCATTCCTCTTTCTCAAGGTGATGGAAACCGTGTATACTCTCGTTTTGACCTCTGTCGATTACTTTGTTGGATTCCGGGTTCACGAATCGTGAATTAAGTGGCAAATAGTAAGTAAATATCATGTACTATTAACTAGCACATAGCAAATAGATAGCGAGTACCTTTAAATACCAAATAGTAAATATTGGGTTGGCAACTAAGTAATCGCCGATTTCAGTTATAGATGTCTCTCACTCCCATCTTTATGATATCCGTAAATGTTATATTATAAAATTATTATTATTATATTATATACTGGGCTTCGGCCGCTTATTGGCTCGGCTGCCTCGCGCCTCGCCTGCCATTGGTCAGTGTTTTTCGTTAATAACTCGTTAACGATGCCTCTGAGANTAGCGAGTACCTTTAAATACCAAATAGTAAATATTGGGTTGGCAACTAAGTAATCGCCGATTTCAGTTATAGATGTCTCTCAGTCTCATTTTTATGATATCCGTAAATGTTATATTATAAAATTATTATTATTATATTATATACTGGGCTTCGGCCGCTTATTGGCTCGGCTGCCTCGCGCCTCGCCTGCCATTGGTCAGTGTTTTTCGTTAATAACTCGTTAACGATGCCTCTGAGAACATTTTTGCGAGGAAAATAGTTACTTCAAATGTCCTCAGAAACCCCTCGTATCCTGTGATTGCGTAACTTTTGGGACACCATGTAGGCCAAAGCGATTTTATTTGGGAACTATTGGGTTGGCAACTAAGTAATTGCCGATTTCAGTTACAGATGTCTCTCACTCCCATTTTTA